AGACCACGCCCGTTGACAGCGCCCTGGGCAGCAGCCGGCACACCCCGATCGGCACGCCCCACTCCAACTGCAGCAGCAGCGTCCCGCCCAGCCCCGTGGAGTGCAGGAACCCCTTTGCGTTCACCCCCATCAGCTCCAGCATGGCCTACCACGACGCCAGCATCGTTTCCAGCAGCCCCGTGAAGCCCATGCAGCGGCCCACGGCCACCCACCCCGACAAGACCAAGCTGGAGTGGATGAACGTGGGCTACGGCGGGGTGAGCAACCCCTCTGTTTCCGCCCACAGCATCCTCCCCACCTACCAGGAGCTGGTGGAGGACCGGTTCCGGAAGCCCCACGCCTTTGCGGTCCCGGGCCAGTCCTACCAGGCCCAGGCCCGGCACCACGAGGCCCATTTCGGCCGGGTGACACCAGTGTCTCCTGTGAGCGCCGGGGGTGGGGGGGGCAACAGCGGCGGCAGTAGCAGCAACAAGCAGGAAGGCTTCGCGGTCCCTGCCCCGCTGGATAACAAAGGGACGCCTTCCGCCAGCGGCAGCGCCACCGGCAGCAGTTTCCGATGCCGGAGCGTCAGTCCCGCCATTCACCGCCAGCGCAACCTGAGCGGAAGCACCGGCTGCCCGGTGACCAACCTGCTGCGGTCCAGCATGGCGGCGGCGGCGGCGGCAACAGCAACGGCGTCGTTTGGCAGCCCCAGCGCCCAGGAGGTCCACGGCACGTTTGGGAGCCTCCACGGGGACCCGGCGGGGGCCGGCAACCTCGCCCAGCGGAGCCAGTCGGTGCCGCTGACGGTTATGATGCAGACGGCCGTCGCCCCGCCTCCGAAGCAAGCCAACGCCAAGAAAATCACCAACGTCTTGCTGAGCAAGCTGGACTCGGAGAACGACGACGCCGTCCGGGGCCTGGGCATCAACAACCTGCCCTCCAACTACACGGCCAGGATGAACCTGACGCAGATCCTGGAGGCCTCGGTGCCCGCCTTCCCCAGTGCCAACGCCCCGGACGTGCTCAACGCCAGCCCTTCAGTTTTCGAATTCCAAACGCCGAGTTACCTCACCAAAAGCAGCAACACGGATCCGATGGCCTTTGCTTCCGGAGACCCCCAAGCACCGCCCTCCGAGGCCGGGGAGCAGCCGCCGCCGCCGCAGCTGGACTTCAGCGCCACTGTGAAGGACCTGCTGGAGGAGGAGAGCAGCCTGGAGCCCAGCCAGCAGCTGGTGAACCAGGTGGCTTCCGACCTCAGCCAGGTGGCCTCCTCCGTGTTCTCCAGCGACCTCAGGTTGACCTCGGAGCTCTCCAGCAGCATCAATGACCTGAACGCTCTGGACACGAACCTGCTGTTTGACCCGGCTCACCAGCAGGGCCAGGATGACGAGGCGACCCTGGAAGACTTAAAGAACGACCCCTTGTTCCAGCAGATCTGCAACGAATCTATGAACTCCATGAGCTCGGCGGGTTTTGACTGGATGGAGAGCAAGGATCATCCCGCGGTGGAGATGTTGGGTTGATTTTTGAAACGCGAAAGAAAAGAAAATCTATAAAATATGTATGTAGCACACTGTATCTCAAAGACAGGCGTATTGTATTTGTCTTAATGGAAGTGCCTCTTGCAGCAGAAACACTTAACTATGGTGGCATTTTTTTAAAAAAAGAAAAAAAATATTGCTCTACCAGCTGTTTTATTCTTCAGCAGGGAATACACAATTTTACCAGTTTTAAAGACATTTCTGAAGGATACAGCCTGATCCAGAGCCAGTATTAGATTTAAAAATTTTACATATTGAGAAGCTTTTCTTGCTGTAGCAAAAGGAAAAAAAAGCAGACAAGCAAGCAGACCGGGTGCCACGAGGATAGCAAGATGAAAGACGCAAAAGAACCGGCGCACAGGGGCTCCCCCAAGTGGCGCGTGGCTGAGGGGACCTCCTTGACCGTGGCCAGCTTTGCGTGGGCTTCCTCAGACGGGAAACCCTGGCTGGCCAAGCCAGGGCCAGGGAGGTGACTGGAGGTGCCGCGACCGTGGGGCTTGGTGGATGATGCCGTGTCACCCGAGCCACAGGGCCTGGAAGGCATAGGCAGGTCTTGGCTGGCTGTGGCACCAGAGGGAGCCCCCCCCCAATCCTCCTAGGAAGGAGCAGGTGGGTAGGTGGACTGCCTCGGCCGGGGGGGGGGGTCAGAGCCCCGAGTGCCCATCTGCGTAGTAGTGGCCAGACTTCGGAAGGGATCCTGGGCTTGGGGCCCCCCTCCTGTTTTGTTGCTGCCGGAGAAGGTCACAGAGGGGCCGGTTTCCTCACCTGGGGGGGGGGCACAGCTGCCCCAGAAAAGATTCCTGTGGCTCCGCGGGGAACTGGGCTGGATCAGGCCGGGCGATGGGCTCGAGGAAAGCGAGGGGTGAGACCTCCCTGGGACACCCGCGTGCACACCTGGTCCAAGCCCTGTCCAGGGCTCAGAGCAGAGAGGGATCACCCAGGGAAAAAGGGGGAGAGTCACCCGCCGGCCGCTTCAGGCAGAACAGGCGCTCTCTTTCTTGCCCGTTGTAGTCACTGGTGCGCTCACCAACCCATCTTCTGAGAAGGTGTTCTCCCTTCTTAACCTTTTTTCACCTTGGCTTTCGTGTCCTTGGCGAAGGGAAGGGAAGCTCCTTCTCAGCTGAGATGACTCTCTCCATTCTGCAGGCTGCACCTCCTTGTCACGGCCCTAGGCTTTTCTTTTTCTTTTCTTTTTAAAATCTTCTTATCAGTGTTAGAAAAACCAGAAACTAAGACCAAGGTCTCCCCAGTTCATCTGCCCCTCCAAACGTCGGGGCACAGTCAGAGAGCACCTGCTGCGTGCGTGCGTGCGTGCGTGCGTGCGATGCTACTGACCGGCTCTTTCCTGGAGAGCTGCCCTGGGTTGCTCTCGCTGCTGAAAGGGGTGGGGGAGACTTTCTGTAGAGCCCAGTCAGCCACCGGACCATGGGCAGTAGTCTAGGGCTCTTCTTCCTCCTTGCCTCCCCCCCCCAAAGCCCCATTGCCGCCATCTTCTCCTATGCAAATGCCACAGAGATTGCTTCGATGCTACTGCCCGGCTGTTTCCTGGAGAGCTGCCCTGGGTTGCTCTCGCTGCTGAAAGGGGTGGGGGAGACTTTCTGTAGAGCCCAGTCAGCCACCGGACCATGGGCAGTAGTCTAGGGCTCTTCTTCCTCCTTGCCTCCCCCCCCCAAAGCCCCATTGCCGCCATCTTCTCCTATGCAAATGCCACAGAGATTGCTTCGTTCCCCTTGCTGTGGGCCAGTTGCCCAGAGAAGGCTCCCTGGGGGTCACGTCCCCTTGCCTTGCAAAAAGCCACCAAGGAGAAAACAAGGGCCCTGCACCTGCAGACGTCCCCGCTCGGGGTCAGATGGGTTGCTGGGGGCAGCACTCTCCCCCCACCTCCGAAAGGGCTGAAGCCAAGGCATCAGGACTTGGTTCTACTGGTGCTTGGGGCAGGCGACAGCTCCCCTGGGGCTGCGCTGCTTCCTCTTTTAACCAAGTCTGAGAGATTGCCACTTGCCAATAAAACAAAATTCTTAAAAAATGCCAGGCAGGCGGGGCAGAGAAGCAAAAGAGGGCCCGGGGCCAAGGCAGAGGCTCTCCTGCAGGGCTGCCCACAGGAGGCCATCCCTTTGCCATCGGGCAGGTGCAGTCCCCTTCCCCAAGAGGGAGTGGGGGGGGAGCTGGGGAGTGGGGCTCCCGGACAGCAGCAGCGCTTGCTTGAGCCTTCCTCCCTTCCCCTGGCCGGGCGAGGTGCCGGCCTTCCCTCCCCAGGACTCAGGATCATCCCAGGCAGCAAGCAACAGGGCCTCTCCCCCCCCGCCGCCCACCCGCTCATTGACCCACACAGTCCTTTCTCCAAAGGGACAGGGTCAACTTGCTTTGTGGGTTGGCCGGGGGGGGCGGGGAGCGTGGCCCTCTTCGCCACCCAGTTTTGTGGCTCCCTGGAACAGCTGCAAATGGGCAGAGGGGAACCAAACCCCACAACGAGGTTTGGCCCTCCGAGGCTCATCCTGGGCATGGCAGTGGCCGAAAGGGCCGGCCGCTCCCACGCCCGGCTGGACTCCCCCTGTTGGGGACTCGCCCCCCCACCTCGGGCAGGGGTCCCGCTGAGGTCTGTTTGGACGTGGACCCCTTACCCAAACCAGGAGGGGTATGCCATGCGCGTCGAGGGAGAGGAAGGAGCAGCGTAGCCCTTGGGCCTGGGCGAGGGGGGTGGGGGTGCCCGGACTTGGAGCCCCTGGGGGGCTGCCCTGGCTAGAAAGCTGACGCGGGGCAGATTCAGTCTGGCCCAATTCATTTTCAGAGGGGAAGCTTTGCAGCCGCCGTGTGCCCACCACAATCACTGCCTTCAGGAGAGGCTTTTTCGGGATGGGGGTTCCAAGTCTCCTCAGGGACCCCTGTGACATTAGTGGAAACGCGATCGCTGTTGAAAACAACTTTGGGGAAAGTTGGGTTTTGAGAGCCATGGGGTCTGAAACCTTTTTGCATAATCTCTCTCTCTCACCACCACCACCATCACCACCACCACCACCAGCAGCAGCCCCTGGTGGTGCTGGGGCTTGGGTGGGTCTGTGCTTGGGTGGCCCTCTCTCCTCCCTGTGCTGAATGTCGGAAGGAACCGCCTGCTGAGGCCCCCCCCTTTTTTTCCATGGTGCTAGCATTGATGCCTTTCGCCTTGGGTTGAGCAGGGGCCCTGCGGATCATCGCATTGTGCAAGCCCGGGTGGGGGTGGTGGGGGTGGATATCTCCTGCCAGTTGGGGAGGGTGGAACCCCCTTTCTCTCAGTCGGGAGGCACCTCAGGACTGTGGCCACTCCGGCCCTGAGCCTGCGCGTGGGCCTTCCTAGGACGAGAAGGGCCGGGATGTTGTGGCGCAGATGTTCTTGAGAGAGACCCTCTTGAGTGGAAGAAAGACCAGAGGCGCTGGACCCCCCACCCCCTCCGGCTGCGTCGCCAAGAGTATTTTGTCTGTGGCCCCTCGAACGGCGCCGGGGTTTGCCTTTTGCACTAAAGCTTGTGTTGAACTGTGGTAGGCACATTCCTTAGGATAAATGCAACCAATACAGCCCACAGCTGGTTTTTTTAAAAAAAAGAACGAAAAGAAACGTAAGCAAACGACTACAGAGAACTTATTAATGTGTTTCATTTTTAAAAGGCAACGTGTCGTCATCCTGGTGACAGGGAACTTGCCTTATGTAGCAATGTGCATTGATCTCAATGAGATGATTCTATTTCTTATTCTCTTACGTGAGAATATTACAGCAGGAAAAAAAATGTTTTGTTTGCCTCACCGTGTTAATACATGACCACACAATGTGCATGCGTGTTCTCTTGACTCTCTTACCTTGTACAGTGCTAGGTAGATTCCTGTAACAACCCTTCCTCTTCCTCCCCACCCCCCCAGCCACACTCTCTTTTTCCCCCTCCATTTTCAGTTGGTTTTTTAAATTTTATTTTTGGCGCTGTATCTGACCTGGTTCTGTGTTAACCAGAGAGCATAGCTGAATCACCTGGTAGCTACATTTAAAAAACAAAAATGTTTACTAATTCTGCTTCGTTATTGTTGGATATGTTCTTTTCTCGGATTGTTTTTGTTGCTCTGGCGTTGGGAGGGGGGAAAAAAGCCCAACTCTTTGGCGTCGCTTTTTTCATGAGAATTCATGAAGTAAAGAATTTGCAAATAATTGCAATAAGCACTGACTTTTGAACTGAAAAGAAGGAAGTTGTTTCTTGCCCGAGGCATCTGACATTTCTCTCAAGTCTTGTACTACTAACTCCCGCCTGCCCCTGCTTTCGAGGAGGAGAGGAAGACTCCGCTGGGCCCCCACCCTGTCCGCCTTTTCATCCGAGTGCACAGTCAATAGCCCCCCCCTCCCCAGGTGTTTTGTTGTCTGTTGTACTGCTGAAATGACAGTAGTTGGATATTGCAGTAGCATTTCAGTTAATTTTTTTATTGAAAGTGCTCAAAATTTGTTTTTTTAAATGTTTTCAGAAACAATAAAACATTTTATATGAAGCCGGACTTGAGCTGTTTCTTAAATACGAGCGAATTCTGGTCAAAGAGGAGAAAAAGGAAGGGGAAGGTGTCGCCTCCGTG